GAGTTCTACAGATAAACATCTTACATAGGGAGATCAGAGACCTTCCACCTGTATCACACACAGTTCATGTGATTGAACAGAAAGGAGGAATTAGACTTACCCCCTCCACCTAGCTTGGTCAGGGAAGGAGCAAGATCCCCAAAGTTCTGTGTTCTCAGTAGAAACCTTATCTTCATAGGGATGTATGGACCACAGGCCCTTAGATCTTCCAGGCCACTGCAGGTGTTATACTTTTTAACCATGGAGTTCTTCTTTGGAGAGTGGTCTCTCTCTCGACTTCTTCATTCTGGAATTCCCTTGGGAGAAAACAAACTGATGGATGTGTATTTGAGAACATAATTGACATACTCAACTGGTAAAAATAAAAATAGAGTTGCTTTGGTGGAAAGGGTGGGGGTGGGAAATGGAGGTCCCTGTGCTCCATCTTCTTGCCCTTCCTTGACCCCCTTCTATGCTAGAGAAACCTGAAACCACTGATCTAGTCTAATATTCTCAATTTATCTTATGACTATATAATAAATTTACTTTTTTAATTCAAGTTTTTATTTTGAGATAATTATAGTCTTAAATGCAGTTGTAAGAAATAATACAGATTCTTTGTATACATTTTACCTCAATGATAACATTGTACAAAACTTTACTAGATTATTATAGTCAGGATACTGACATTGATACAATGATATAAAGCATCTCCATCACCACAAGGATCCCTTTTGATGTCTTTTTGTAGCCATACTCACCCCCTTCCCCATCCCCAACCCCCTGGCAACTGCCATTTAGTCCCATTTCTAAAACTGTCATTTCAAAATATTATATAAATGGAATCACACAGTATATAAGCTTTTCTCACTCAGCATAATACCCTTGTGATCCATCTGAGTTGTTGCATATGTCAACAGTTTGTTCCTTTTGATTGCAGAGTAGTATTTTGCGGTATGGATGCACTGCAGTTTAACCATCTACTTGTTGAAGGACATCTGGATTGTTTCCAGTTTTTTGCTATTAGAAATAAAGGTGCTATGAACATTCACATACAGGCTTTTGTGTGGATATAATTTTCGTATTTCTGCAAAAATGCCCAAGAATGCAGTGGAATTGTGTGTTTAGTTTTTTAAGAAACTGCCCAATGATTTTCCAGAGTGTCTGTATCATCTAACATATCCAACGCCAGTGAATGAGTGATATAGTTTCTCTGCATCTTCACCAGCATTGTGCGTGGTTAGTATTTTTCATTTTAGTTATTCCCATAGATGTGTAGAAGATTTTTATGGTTTTAATTTGCATTTCCCTCATGGCTAATGATGTTGAGCATCTTTTCATGTGTGTATTTGCTACTGTATATCTACTTTGGCAAAATGTTCACATCTTTTACCCATTTTCTTCCAATTGGATTGTTTATTTATTTTTTTACTTTTGTGTTTTGAGAGTTCCATATATATAAGTCCTTTGTTAGTTGGTGGCTTATAAATATTTTCTCCTGGCCTGTAGTTTGTCTTTTCATTCACTTAACAGGGTCTTTCACAAAATAGAAGTTTTTAATTTTGATAATATAATTTTATCAAATTTTGCTTTTATGGATCAAACTTCTGGTGTCATTGTAATAACTCTTTGCCTAACCCTAGATCCCAAAGATTTTCTCTGATATTTTTTCTAAACATTTTATAATTTTGTTTTACATTTAAGTATGTGTTCTATTTTAAGTTAATTTTTATATAAGATATGAGGCTTAGACAAAGGTTCATTTTGTTGCCTATGGATGTCCAGTTGCTCCACCATTTGTTCTGCTTTCATTGAACTGCTTTTGCAACTTCACCAAAAATCAGTTGTCTGAACTTATATGGGTCTATTTCTGGGCTCTGTTTTTTTCCATTGAACTTGTATGTATCCTTCTGCCAATATCACACAGTATTGATTATTGTGGCTACATAATAGACTTTAATATTGAGTAGAATGATTTCTCCCACTTACTTCTCCTCTCAAGGTAGTTTTAGCTATCCTAGGGTCTTTGCCTTTCTGTATAAACTTGAGTAAACTTGGCTACGTTTTTTAAAAATCTTACTGGGATTTTAATGGAAATTGCTTTAAATGTATAAATCATTAAAACTATAGTGGGGAAAATTGATATTTTTACTATAAGCATGGTATGTCCTCTATTTCTTTCATCATCATTTTGTAATTTTCAGCATATAGATCCTACACATGCTTTTGTATTTCTTTCGGTAGGGAGGGTGATTACTTATAGATGGTGTTCTGTTCTTTGTTTTATTTTTTAATGTTCATTGTTACTATATAGAAATGCAATTTATTTTTGTGTATTGATCTTGTATCCTGTCACTTGCCGAACTCACAGTGTTCTTGGAGATTTTTGTAGAGTACTTGGGAATTTCAAGGTAGACCAACATGTCATTTGCAAATAGGAACAATTTTATTCCTTGCTTTCTAACCTGTATGCTGTTTCTTTTTCTGCCTTTGTTCAATGGCTAGGACTTCCAGTTTTATGTTAATTAAGAATAGCAATTGTTCCCAGTCTTAGAGACAAAGTATTCAGTCTTTCATTTTTTAAAATTCAGATTCTAGCTTTATGTATTAGATTTGTAACCTTGATAACAAGTTATTTGACTTCTCTAAGTCTCAATTTCCTTGTCTGTGAAATATTGATACCAGTATTACCTGATCGCTGTGCTGAAAATTCACTAAGTTAACATATGTAAAGGACTTAGAACAGTGTCTGTCACATAGTAAGTGTTCAGTGAGTATTAGTTGTTATATTATTATTCTTGCTCAATATAGATAACTAACCTGTTCCAAAAATCAGTGCTTCAGGTTCAGAGAACATAATGCCTAAACCATATAGGATTGCAGTCCATATTTGTCACTTTTACCTATTCACTGGCTTCCCAATTAAAGGGAAATAAATTTTGTAAGACTTACCTGCATTCCCATTTCAGTGAACTAAAAGGGGGAAGAATCATAGCTTGGCCTTTGTTCTCTCCTTCCCTATAGCTCTCCTAGGTCTCTCCTTTCCACTTACCTTCAGAAATATCCTCCAATCAGCTCAAGTCTTTCTTAGTAAGTATATAGTTAGCTGTAAGCTTTCTTGCAGATGTTTTTTATCAGGTTGAGGAAGTCTGCTTCTATTCCTAGTCTGTGAGAGTTTTTACCATGAATGAATTTTATAATGTTGGATTTTGTCAGATGATTTTTCTGCATCAACTGATATGATCGTATGATTTTTTTTAGCTTATTGATATGGTAAGGATTTGGAATATTGAACCAGTTTTACATTCCTACAGTAAACCCTATGGTATATCATTCCTTTTATATATTTTTTAATTCAGTTTGTTAACATTTTGTTGAGCATTTTACATCCAAATTCATGGGAAATAATGGTCAATAGTTTTCTTTTTTGTACTCTCTTTTTTGATATCAAGGTAATATTAGTCTCCTAAAATGAGTTGAGAAATGTTTCCTCTTGTATTTTCTGGAAGTGACTATAAAAATGATGCTAATTCTTCTTTAAATGCTTGATAGAATTTTTCACTGACATCATTTGAACTTGGAGAGTTCTTTTTTGGGGTGCTTAATTATAACTTCAGTTACTTCAAAGAATTATTCAAATTATCTCTTTCATTTTGGCTGAGTTGTTAACTGTTTATGGTTTTTGAAGAATTGGTCTAAGTTGTTAAATTAAGTTGTGTTTAGTATTCCCTTGTTAGCTTTTCAATAGCAATAGATGTGTTAAGTACCAATGACGATGTTAAGTACCAAGATGATATAATACGTACCAATATTTCATTCTTGATACTGGTGATTTGTATCTTCTTTCTTTTTATGTTTCCCCATCTTGCTAGTAGTTTATCAGTTTTACTCATTTTTTGGAGGAACCAGTTTTTTGTTTTATTAATTTTTCTCTGTTGTTTACCTGTTTTCTCTTTTTATTTATTTCTGTTCTTTGTTATTTCCTTCTGCTTGCTTTGGGTTTATTTTTTTTCTTTTTCTTAATTCAGGCCAGAACTTTTATCATTGATTTCTTTCCCCTTTTCCAGTAGATATTTCATGCCTTAAAATTTCTTCTCAACACTGCTTTAGCTATATCCCACGTATTTTAGTATATTGTACTTTAATTTTTAGTCAGTGCTTTGTTTTTTTTCAAGATCTCTCTTCGATCTATGGGTTATGTAGAACTGTGTTGAGACTTCCTTTGTTTTGACATTTAATATGATTCCGTATGGTTAGAAAATATACTCTGTATGGTTTCACTTCTTTTAAATTTGTGAGGTTTGCTCTTTGACCCAAGTTATGGCTTATTTTAAAACACCAGATTTTTAGGTACTCTGATGCCCTGCCCACTGCCTGTTACTTCAGTCTGCCTCCCTCAGCTATAGCTCACATGGCATGTCTGTCACAGGCAGAGAACAGAACTCCAGAGCAGGCTTCCGAGAGCCCCTGACTTAGTGACAGACTGGACCTTGAGTCCCCAAAGCCCTGCCTGCCTGGACCAGGAACCTGGTTCATCTTCCCTGGAGGCTTTGTCTTCCATGACCCTTCCCATGACACGTGATTGAGCACACAATGAGGTGAGGCTGGACTGCCTGGACCAGGAACCTGGTTCATCTTCCCTGGAGGCTTTGTCTTCCATGACCCTTCCCATGACACGTGATTGAGCACACAATGAGGTGAGGCTGGAGTTGGGCGGGGACAGAGTAGTAGCTAGTCCAGGCCCTGTGTCTCTGCACCCTTACCTCTTTCTCATGAGGTGGTGAATGAGGAGGGGCAACTCAGATGCCTAAGAAGCTTAGGCCCAAATCTCAGAGACAACATCGGGCTGTTGCCTCCCTCACCCAGGCGCACCAGGCGGCCTGTTCTCACCCTTGCAAATAGTCCAAGTGCAGGGCCAAGAGCTCCCAGGCCCACACTTGCTGCTGTTGACACTGCCAAAATACTCTACATAGAGTTTCCAACCAGGTGCAAGTGGTTGATACCTCGTCTGCTTCCTATAGGACATACAAGAACAGTGAGGAGCTTCGGTCTCGTATTGTGTCTGGAATCATCGCACCTATCCATGAACATTGGGACAAGGCTAGTGTTAGCAGTCCTCACCAGGAGTTTCCCCCAGCCACTGCCAGAGAGGTGGACCCGCTCCAGATTCGCCCACACCACCCGCACACCAGCCGGCAGCCTCCCTGGTGAGTAGTCCCCAGTAGACAGCCATGCTTATGCAGGTCTACCCATGACCATCCTGCCACTTGACCCCATCTCTGGCACCTGTATGTCTTCAACAAAATTGTCAGAGTTTTGGTGTATGGAGATAGAAAACTGAGACATAAGTGGGACAGTGAGTTCTTGTACTGCCAGTCACCCTAACTACGCTGCATCTTATTAAGCCTGCCTTTTGGCTTTTTTTTAACCTGTCAATTATTACTTTAAAAAAATTTTTTTAAATGAAGTATAGTTCATATACAATATTGTATTGGTTTCAAGTATACAACATAGTGATTGAACAATTATCTACATTGTTAAGTCCTCACCCCAACTAGTGTAGTTACTATCTGTCAATATAGGAAGATGTAACCTGCCTGCTGCCTTTTTAGAGGCCACACAGAGCCCCTGAGTCTGCCCAGCCGCCAGTGCCTCTGGGGCTTGTGTATGGTAGTCCAGTTGCTGCCCAAGGGAATTAGTTACTCACTCCAGAGCTCTTTGTGCAGGGCTGTGGACCAGGCATTTTGGGAAAATGCAAAGATGCATTTCCCAAATGTAAAGTACTTTCCCAAAGCAGGTATAAGTCCTGGTGTCTTGCCTATTTTATTTCATTTCATTGTAGTCCCTGACCTCTTTGACAGCCTCAAAACTTTTCAAAACATCATGGGTATAAGCAAGTCACATCCAAGATCTTTGCAGATTAAGATGGCAGCATTTAGGCCTGGAGACTCCTGCTCTGAGGGAGGAGACAAGGACCTGGGAGACCTTAATGTCCGGCACTTCCCAATGTGGAGTCCACACTGTGGTAGTAATGGTGGAGCTGGCAGGGTTGGGGGCAGGGTTCACTGTCGGGCCATAATAAGCAGTCAGTCTTAACTGCCATTGTTATTTTATTCTGTTTTGCAATTCTATACCTTTGGTAAGTTTAAAAGGCAGTGGGGAGTTAATGTAATTATTACAATAAGTAATAATTAGCAAATCTCTTTGCCAGTCTTCAGAAATATGGGTCCTGTGAGGAGAGTGGAAAATAATAAAAAGTGTTGAAAGGTTGGGAACAACTTGTCTGATCTAACCCCCTTATTTTATAGATGGAACAAAGGTAAGATGATATGCCTAAGGTCACCAGCCACTAAGAAAGAGACAGGGACAGGGCTGGGGTCCAGGTGTCCTCAGCCTCAGTGCTCTGGCTGTGGTGTAACCAGAATAAGATTTAAGAATAAGCCTTGAACAGCATCAAGTTGGGGAAGATTTTTAGACCTTAAGTAGGTAGTAATTTTCAGCACTCTCAGACTCGGTACTCATTTCAAAACAAATACTCTGTGAAATCTCTTTTACTTCTCTTGAAATGGAATTCATAGATAGTCTCACTTAAGAGGTGCATAATTTCAAAAGGAATCAGTATAAAGTCTTGACTGTAATATAAATGAGAAATAAAAAGAGTAGTTATAAGATGATGTGTATTTTATCGTGCAGAAGCCTGAGCACAGTCAGACATTTATTTGCACTTATATGTGAAATTATCTTGAATTCAGTGGCACATGGCTTACACTCAAGTACCACAGACTATATTTGCTGCTAACAACATGACTTTTCCGAAATAGTGAATAGCTCTTAGGAAAATAGCAAACAAAATAGTAGATGGACAATGTTTCTTCAATTACCTCATAGTTTTATTGCTGGAAATTTTTGTTTGTATTACAGAAGTATAAAAGATACTTTGTCTTCACATATAAAATGGGCTTAGACTCAGAAGTTTATGTAGGCTTTACACCTCCACGAATGTCTAACACGACTTTAGAAAATTGTGTGGGATGCAGGCCATATGGAACTCTGCTGTGAATTGTGGAGCATGCAGCATCTCTGGTCTCTTCCTATATATAAAGGCCATGAGGACCTTCCAACCACTTATAAGCAGAAACACCCTCTGGGCTTCCACAGTGGCACCTGGAAGCTGTGCCACCCTAAGTGGGAATC